CCTCTTATCTGCTGATGTGCATGAGGGGGTGATGAGCTATGCCATGAAGGAAGATTTCTGGATTTTCTCAAACACTGAATTTCATCCCACGTAATTTAGAACAGGAAATATTTGTGTTTGTCTACAAGGGCAGCCGCCATTTCGGTATGTGGCCTGCAAGGGGGGGTGCAAGACCTAGGTCAACCCCCTGGTACCACTGCAGGCCCCTCCCCTTCCCTCTTACTGCCTCTCCTGAGCAATGGAGCCTGGGAGATTATAAGGGCCTGCCATAGTGTCCGCATGGTTCAGCTCTGCCCCAGAGCAGCTCAGCAGCCTGCTCTGCTCCACCTCACTGTGTCACCCTCCTGGTCCACTGCATCCCCATTTCTCTGCGACAGTGGGAAGCAGAGCACCCTGGGGCTGGAAAGCTCTGCTTCCTGCTGCCACTGAAAAGTCATATGCAGCGGGCCAGGAGAGGGTGGTGTGGCAGGGTGGAGTGGAAGGGGAACAGGCTGCTGGGCTGCTCTGGCTCCCATTAGCCGCATGGTGAGTGGAAGGAGGGTAATCCCCGCTGCCTATAATCCCCTGGATCCCTCCTGTCCATAGGGCTGTTAGGATGGCTGCTGCAGGGCTCTCAAAAGCACAGGGCCTGAGGCAGTGGTCCCAATTCATCCTATGGATGGGATGGCTCTGGTGGCCTAATGTCTAGCACATGCCCTTCAGTCTGTTTGTTTTTTACAAACTGGCTGTATTTTTCATACAGGCCTCTTCCTTTGATTCCCAAAATGCTGCTTCTTCGCCAGGAAGTGAAAGGGTTAAATTTAGTAATCAGAAATGTTTGCTAAGGTGGCGCAATGACTGCAGTGCAGTGAAGGAGACCCAAACAAAGGTTTTTTAGTAGCCCTGGACAAAATACTTCCATCACATTTCCCATGATCTTGAACAGAACCTTGTAATTGCAACTTCAGTCCTTTATGAAGCTAAGGCCAGGCCTACATTAGGGGGGCAAAGTTGAACTAAGGTACACAACTCCAGCTACGTGAGTAGCATAGCTGGAGTCAAGATATCTTAGTCTGAAATTTCCACAGCATTCCCATTGCAGGGAGTGGACAGAAGAAACTTTCCAGTCGACTTCCCTTCCTCCTCACGACCCGGAGTAGCAGAGTTAGATCAGCAGTTAGATCAGGGTCCTTATTAGGGATATGAATGTGTACCCATGTTATGATTAACCAACGAGACTGATACAGAGGCAATGAGGGAAAATGGGCAGGTATGTGTTGGCTCCTGAGAAATCCACCTCCCTCCCCCCTCTACTGCTTTCCACAGAGGCAGCAACACAATAGGGGGCAGGCAGAAGCCAGCTTAAAACCCAGTTCCCTGCAAACATCAGCTCCCACAGAACTGCCTGCCCCCCTAAGCTGCTGCCTCTGATACAGAGGAAGTAGCACAAGGATGGGGGAGCTTAAAAGCCATCTCGCAATGAATACCGGCTTCTGCCTGCCCCCTCCCCACATGTAAATGTGTAACCACTGTAAATTTCAGCGGATACACGTTTGCAAAAATAAATGCATTTTAATATCCCTAGTCCTTAATAGACCCGATAAATTGATCCCTGAGAGATTGATCTCCTTTGCGTTGATCTCCTAGTTAGTAAATGGAGCCAGCGCCTCAGCCAATCCTAAGGAAAATTCAGCAAATATAGGCTGAGGTGGCTCTCACAGCTGGAAAGCTAACGAATTTTCTTCTCTCAAGGCTCTGAGTCCATTATTCCTTGAGCTGCTATCATCTTCCCCCAACCAGTCCTGGAACTCCATTGAAAATATTTCTTTCAGGATAAAGGAATCCCAAGTTTTATTGAGAAGTTGCTGGAGTGTGCTTGCAATAAGGATCTTCCACAGTTGAACTTACCCCATAATAGAGATTTAAATTAACTACATTTAATTCTCCAAAAGAACCTATGGGAGTTGACTGACAATCGAGCCTTGTGAGTGGAACCATCGGGTTCAGTTTGTGAATCTCTTTGCAAATAGAACTCTGAACATTCTCATAGTCTTAGCTCTGAATTTGATTACATAGTACTAGGGTTGAAAGGATTACATTTTTATCAGTAAATGTTGATAATTGTTGATTTCACCATACATCCACAAACAGATGAGGAAATACTTTCATGGATAATAATAGAAATGTATAGGTAGGCAAACTAAGACAAATACTTGAAAATGTATTAAAGTCTGATTTAAGGATATTTACTTGGCATATTTTGACATATGATGTTGACAATTTGTATTTTTAATGGTTATAAAACTTTAATTTTTTGAATTTGTGTGTCCTGCCATTAAAAAATTGCCTGTCCCTCCTTACTACCTATTTCCATAACTTCCTGTAACTGAAAATTTAAATCAATAAAAATTGATAAAGGTGCTTATAAATAAACATTTATATTCTCCATAAAAATTATAAAAAAATCGATTTCTGCCAAGCCCATATTATCTATGTCAGCAGTAGGTAGAATTATTAGTATATTTGCTTCCAGCTACAGCAGGTCCTGACCAGTAAATTCTCTAAATACCCAGAAAAACAAATTGATATGAGCTTTTCTTCTCAACTCAGAAATTGAGCAGCCCTCTTTCTGCAACATCACCAGTTCTTAGTTGTCAATAAGGAGCTTTGCTATTTAAATGGTGCTTATAACACTTAGTGATACACTTTAGGCACACTGCATGGTGACTACATGAATCTCCATCAGAAAGAACACAGATCCTCCCGGCAATCTTCCCATAAGCAATTTCAATGATTACTTCACCTGTTACTGTCTCTTTTAATCTCCTACTGATATTGGCAAGTTGTCCTCCATAGAACTTACATGTCTTAACTCAGGCTGTATCTAGACTGGCATGATTTTCCACAAATGCTTTTAACGGAAAAGTTTTTCCATTAAAAGCATTTGCGGAAAAGAGCGTCTAGATTGGCACGGATGCTTTTGCGGAAAAGCGTCCGTGCCAATCTAGACGCGGTTTTGCGCAAGAAAGCCCTGATCGCCATTTTCGCCATTGGGGCTTTTTTGCACAAAACAGTTTTTACCTGTCTACACTGGCCCTCTTGTGCAAAAGTGTTTGCACAAGAGGGCTTTTTCTCGAGCGGGAGCATCATAGTATTTCCGCAAGAACACTGACAATCTTACATTAGATGGTCAGTGTTCTTGTGCAAATTCAAGCAGCCAGTCTAGATGCAGCCTTAGAGTGCCACAGCCTTGCATACCTTTTCAATATTAGATTTTTCATTTGTACCAATGAAAGATTAGGGAGTGTGTGTGCAGGCAATAGACTCTGCATAAGAGTGTGTAGATAATTTCAAATTGTCAAAAAGAAGATGAAATTCCTTCTGAGGTCCTCGTTGGCCCCCAAGATAAATGGGGAAGTAAGAGGTGAACCCTTCTCTATTTTATTCAGTGTGCGCCATGCTGCATGCATGTCATATTGGTGACTTGTCACAAGATGTTTATATAATAGACATTGGGTTCATGCTTTCCTTACCCAACACTCAACTTGCATGGTGTAGAACAGTGGTTCCCAACAAGAGGTCTTCCAGATACTTACCTAGTTTTTGAACAGGCTACATAAAAAGCATTAGAGAAGTCAGTATAAACTAAAATTTCACACAATGATTTTATACTGCTCTATATTCTATGCACCTGAAGTGTAAGTACAGTATTTATATTCTAATCTACTATATATTTGAGTTTGTCTGTTTCTCCTAAATGGTAAGGGTTAGGACCACTAGATTCAGTATACACCTTCCTCTTCTCATAACTTAAAGCAGGGTAAAATGTTGGTTGTGCTAGGACAATGGGATGTGCCTGGAATGGGATTGCTTCTCATAAAACCATACAGAAAAGAGACAGAATCACCAGGCAGGTGAAAGGAACTGGCTAGGGGGCGCACCCACCTATCTGGAACTGCCTTAGCCCCGAGCCTCCCATCCCAGGCACCCTTTAGGGAACGTGGGGGGCTGAAGCTCCTCCCCCCACACTCATACAGGTACATTGCTGTCTGTTCCCCTTCACGAGGGAGTTAGAGAAAAGTGCAGTTTGCTACATTCCTCACTCTGGCTGGGAGTGCCGGGGGCAGACAAACTGCACTTTGCTCTTGGTCCTTCACGAGGATAGAAAGAGGAAAAACAAGCAGCCCTGGTATGAATCTTGGTAGGGCTTTGCCCCCTGCCCCACCAAACCCCCTATACACATCTCCCTTGCCCAGAGTCCTCTTCACCCTCCAGCACCAGGTAAACGTGCTAGTTGATTTATAATTATATGGTACAAATGAGAAAGTGAGCAATTTATCAGTGATTGTGCGCTGTGACACTTCTGTAATTTTATGGCTGATTTTGTAAGCAAGTAGTTGTTAAATGAGTTGCAACTTGGGCTTACTTGAGACAGATCAGTCTCCTGAAAGGGGTACAGTAGTCTGGAAATGCTGAGACCCTCTGGTGTGGAAGACTGTCCCTAATGAGTGTCTCTTTTGATTACCCTCATACCTTTAAGAAACATCACCAACCCTGTATCTGGCTGCATGGGGGAAGAGAGCTCTATTTTGTTTTGTTGCGAGACATGAGTGGTGCTACATATTTCTGTCCCAAGCACTCCTTGAGCATGTGTGTCTTGAGCCTTTGCCTGCAGACTCTCAAGAAAAGCTGCCCTCTCTTTACTCTCAGCCCTTCTGTGCTATGAAAGCTAAGCCTGTTTATAATAGTGGAGCTGTAATTGAATGCAAGCTGGTCATCTTCCAGTTTCTCCACTTAACTCCTTCCCTTCTCTTGAGAGACATGGGTTTTATGCACTCCTAAAAGGTAGGCAGAGCTTAGCATGCTATGCCCATATCTTTCAACATTGTCAATTGAAGAAATATGGGTGGGAGAAGATAATGTGATTCCTCCCCCACCCCATTCATAATAGCCTTTTTTAAAAGAATTGATTCATTGTCTAACAACAGACATTCTCTCTCTTTCTCTCTCTCTCTGTTTAGTTTTCTCAGCTAATTAAAATCTTCAATTCGCTGGGTCCTGAGAAGTTCCCCCTTGTGGAGCAAACATTCTTCCCAAGCCATAAGCAGATGGTAAGTGTCCTTGGTTTATTCTGATGCTATAGTTGAGGAAGAAGCAGAGAATCTGTGATTGGGAATGGAAGGGAGCCCTGACAATTTAAACAACACCCTTGACTTTACAGACAATGAATTACTAGCAGAAAAACATCAGGCATAGAACACAGTCCAGGATGCCTCTTTTCTTTCCCCTCAGTTCTTGGAAGGACACTATGTGAACACTGAAAGAATGAGAAATGGTTAAAAAAATGAAATGAAATGAAATGAAATAAATTGTTGACTGTCATAGGCAGGGAACAAGTCTGTTTGGATGTGTCCACGTTGGTCTTTGCACTCTACCTAATGTGTTGATGAACAGGAAGATGAGGAATGTGGGGAGTAACAGAAGTTTCTTATAAAAGAATTCTGTGCTGCTCTTGATTTGTCTCATCTGTGACATGGTTACCATCTATTAAACATACTTACCAGCTGTTTGATTGTTAAATGGAGTGGTTTGGAGGGTGTTTTTAACATGACTCTTGTTTTATTTGGCTTGCATAATTCGCTGTAGCATAATTGCTCTTGGTGTTTATTCATCCTATCTGTGTACTAGAACATATTGTACCTTAGACCTACACAATAATTAGGCATTCCATGAGCTCCTTAAAAGACAGCAACTTCCTAAGCGCTGGGCAGCTGTCTCGTTTTAAACCTGGCGAAGGAGCAGAATTGGGACAGTTTAAACAACTCAGCTGTATTTCTTTTGTTTTTCCATTACAAGTGGGACTGGCCCTAGGCTGATGGATGTCTACTCTTAGCCTGGCCCTTTGAGAAGTTCAACTGTTAAGATATGTCCATGTACCTATCACTCTTTCTGACTACTTCAGAGATCTCAATGGACCTTTCTATGAGCCCTAATCCCGTGTCTAAATTGCCGCCTGCTTTTCAGTCTGTATAGCTTGGTTCATTTCTAATTCAGTTGCAAGGCTGATGAGGTTCTCACACAATTTAGAATCTGCCCTGCTTGTGAGATGAAAATTGGTGTCTTCTCTCAATAACTCATATGTCATTCATAATACAGGATGCCCTGACCTAAATCCCTCTTATATGCTGGTACACAACTAACCCACCCTGGAAGGTCAGGTTAAGGTATGTAACTCCAGCTACGTAAAATATATAGCTGGAGTTGGCTTACCTTAAGATGAGCTTGGCACTGCCTTCACAGAGGGAGGCCAATGGGAGCAAACACTTCCATTGGCTTCTCTTACTCCTCACAACTGTATCGATCGGAACGACCCTCAGCATTTGATTTAGCAGGTCTTAAATAGCCAGTCCACTAAATAGAACACCAGAAGATCGATTTCTAGAGCAGCAAAAGTGGAGATGTGGCCTGAGAGGTCATAAGTTTAGAAGGCCTACTCCTTCCTGCCAACTAAATCAGGGCTGTTAGTGCATCAAATGAGTGGAATGGTATCCTGAAAGGGCCTTTCTCCTTTTTTTTCCATCGGTTTAATTTTGTTAATAAGATCAATGCTATCAACTTCCTCCATAATCTTCATTGGTAGTAGTGTTGATGGAAGGATTGGATACTGTAGATAATCATTTACATGAATGAACATGCAATAAGGTAATCATCAAACATCTATTTCAGGATTTTTTAATATGCTTTTGTTAAATGCAGATTATCAATCACAGTAAGAAAATAATGTGTTAAATGGAAAATATTAATCGACATCCATAAGATTCTAGATCAATATTTAATGGGCTCAATGTACAGCAAGGCAATTTAGGTTAGATGGTAGGAAAATCTTTTGAATGATAAGGACATTTAAGCACTGGAGTGGGCTTCCAAACCAAGTTGTGGAATCCCCACGACCGAACTGGTTGGACAAACACCTGTCAGAGATGTCTAGATTTTACTTAGATGCTGCCTTAGCTTGGGGAACTGGACTAGATGACTACTAGAGATCCCTTCTAGCCTTACATTTCTATGTTTTACTGACAATGTGTATGTTCATATTGATAAGTCTAAGCTATGTCCCATACTCATAAAGGTTTGACAGTGAAAAAAGCCTCCATCTCTGTTAGCAAAGCTGGGTGGTAATATATACGCATCCAAAAGAGATTGATATGTATCTTATAAGTTTTGAGTCCATTCCACACTTGATTCTTTCAATGGTCAAAGGATTAGGCTTTTTTATGATATCTGTAGGCTGGCTCTCCCCACAGATGATGTGGCTGATTAGCATTCTGTATAATCAGGGGAAAGTTTTATAATTGGTGTCTGAGACACAAAAAGATCCAAAGGAGGCCAGCCACTTGCATTTTCAGCAAGTATTTAGGTTCACTTTGGAGTTGAAAACGGCAAATTACTTGACATTCTTACCATAAATGAAAAAAGATCCTTCTCTTTCCAGACTGTCCAATATTTCTGTCTTTTGGCCTCTTGCCTTGGTCTGTAGTTGAGAATAAAGAGAAATTCTGTGGCCCGGTAATTAAGGTGCTAGCCTGGGATGGTGGAGACCTGGATTGGATTCCGTGATCTGCCGCATACTACTTCTGTGACCTTTTAGTAAGTCCTTTAAGAGAGACCTTTGAAGATATTTAGGTGCCTAAACATGTAGGTAAATGCCTAGTGGGATTTTCAAATAGAAAAAAAGAGTCTCCAGCTGCTTATGAAAATCCCCAAAAGCATCTGGATGTGCGAGTAGCTAGTACCTTTAAAAATCTGGCCCTTCATCCCCTCTGTTTCTATTCCCCATCTGTAACATGGTGGTAATAGCCAGTCCCTAAATCCTAGGAGACATATGTTAAAGATGGTGAGGTGCTCAGATGCTGCAGTCAGAGCTGTCCCATCCATAGGATGGTTCGGGGTGGCCTCCTGAGTCTTTGGGGGGCCCCAGAATGGCCACCTCAACTGTCCTAGGAATGCGTTCCAGAGGGCCCTGGTGCGGGGCAGCAGCAGGGGTTGTCTCCCTCCTTCACTCACTTTGGCTGTGGAAGCTGGAGCGACCCAGCAGCCTGCTCCATCCCACCCCACCGCTCCTTCCCAGCTTGCTGAGCATGGCTTCACCACGGTAGCAGGAAACAGAGTGCCCTGGCCCCAGGACACTCTGCTTTCCACTGCTGCGGAGAAACAGGGTGCAGCAGGCTGGGAAAAGGCAGAGGGTCAGAGCAGAGCAGGCTGCTGGGTTATTCTGGCTCCTACCACCACAGTGAGTGCGAGGAGAGGGGCTGACCCCTGCTCCCGCCCCATTCCAGGCCCCCAGTAATCCTCTGGCTCAGGGGGAAGGGGCTTTGGCAAGGGGGTGGGACAGGGGGCAGGAA